GGTGCAATGAGACTTTTATACGACGTCGTTTTTGTCCCCATTGAGAACCCACTTGCTTGTAGTGAAAAAAAAATAATAATAAGTATAAAGAAGAGCCCACCTGACCGGCCCAACATTGATATGGGTCTGGGTTCAAGTTGACCAGCTCAACTCTGTCCAATGCGCCCAATTTCGGTTACTCTTTATGAGCCAGATGGGCCCAATAAAATGGCAATGAGATCCAGTATTAAGGGTCCAATAAAATAGAATTAGAGTCCAATTAAGATGGGCAAGTGACCCGATCGAACTGGGCCACTGGGATTAATTTCAAAATTCCCACTATAGGAAGGCTGTCCAATGTTCATTTTAAAGCTCTACGGTTTTTTTTTTTTGGTGAACCAATTGACTCAATCCAAAAAAAAAGATTTATGAGCCCCATTAAGGGTACTCTTGACTTCATAGGGCCTTATAATATTAAAAAAATATCTTTTCCCCATTCACTGTGTCGCATGCAACATCAAGTCCTGGCCTGTGCTTGTGAACAAAAATGAAATTATAGTTTCTTAAGCATCACAATATGATTGATAGAAGTTAAGCCAACCATCCTCATATGCGATTGCAATTAACTTTGAGAAGAGACAGAAATATGAAAATATATAGGTTAAAACTCCATTTTAGTCATTGAATTATTGTACGAACCCTCGATTTGATCCTTGAAATAAAAAAATTCTTGATTTGATCTCTATTGTTTATTATTTTGACTCCGATTTGGTTATTTCATTAAATATCCATCGTTAACTCATAGTGAGTTATTGACATGACAAATTTTAGATACGTCAAATCAAAATGATGACATGGCAACATAAAAAGTTACATTCATACCATGTAACCCACCAAAATTACAATTTTACCCTCCTCTTCTTCTTCCAGCATCCTCTTTCTCAAATCTTCTTCATTCATCCTTCTTTTTCCCTCTCTTTGCCTCCTCCGAGACAACTTTTATCACCATTTTTCTAAGTCAAACAATTAATTCAATGAAATGGAATTCAATTATTCATCAATCAATTCTTTTTCATCATCAAACAACAAAACCCAAAAAAAAAAAAAAAAAACAAAAATTTTTCTCAAACCTAGCATTAGGTTTGAACGAACCCTGCACCTAGGTTCGAACGAACCCAGTGCCTAGATTTCAAGGAACCCTACGCTTGGGTTTGAACAAACCTCGTGCTTGGGTTCCAAGGAACACCACGCCTGGATTCCAATGAACCCAATGACGGCTATTGAGTTTGATGGGTTATAAGGGAAAAGGGTAAAGAGAAAAGGAAAGAGAACAAAAAAGAAAAATTTTTTTTTATAAGTTTTATTATTTTTATATTATTATTTTTTTACCACATCATCTTATAACAGTGAATTAACGGTACACATAATGAGATTTGTAATGAAAAGACCAAATTGGGTCAAAATAGTAAATAATAGAGACCAAATCAAGAATTTTTTTAGTTTTTTAGTTTAAGAACCAAATCAGAGATCCGTACAATAGTTAAACATCAAAAATAAGGTTTTAACCAAATATATATGATAAGGAATACGGGTGCAGCACGGAGAAGTGATTTCACATTTGTTTTGGGCAAATCCTCGTCAGACACATTTATCCATACAATACTGTCAAGGTTTAAAATGCATATACAATAAAATGTGAAGTGGACTGGAATAACATTTCAATAGGAAACTGGAAAATAAATAAAAGCCGGATTCTCATCAGTCTAACAAAACTTTGATCAAGGTCATTTATAACATCAACATTCCAAGAAACAAAATGGAAAAAGGAGAATTAATCCCACAACACAAATGTCCATCACTAAAATACGTAAAAACCACTTAGAAAACGCGATTAGGAGTCCCCATCGTGCTCTTCAAGTAGAGGCACCTCACCTGAATTCACAGATAAAAATTTGTCAGAACAAGTATTGTTCAAAGGCGCAAACACTACACTAGCAGAACAATCATTTAACAGATAATAACGTGAATATAACTTTTGAATGAGAAGAACTCACGTTTTGCCAGTTTTTCTTCAGCAATGAAACGAGAAAGTTGACACTCATTTGCACGTTCTGGAAAATCTGCTTCTCTTCCATTCCAACATTCCCAACAGCAACACCCATGCAAAGCACCTTCTTCAATTGGAACTTAACTGTTGCCTTGGTTTCATTCACCTTAGACTCCAGGGATTCCTGGTGAGTAACAAGAGTTGGAAACTTTCCTGCATTTTGCCATTTGATAGACCGCAGATCAGCATAATTTTAAAAAGTAAACAAGAATCAACTCCAAGAGACATGCTACAACCATTAACATTATTGTTTCCCTATCAGCAACAACTTTATTTTGAGGAAATAGAAATCACCAAATGCAAATAGCATTATAACTAGATATAATTCCTCCTCCAAAACAAACAAGATATTACATGTATGTTTGACATAGGTTGCTCAAAACATTAACGTTATTTATATAAAGACTTGCCTGCTTTGTTGAGACCAGGTCCAAGGAGACGGGGAATCTGCTTGATGACAGATTCAGATGCCAAAAAGGCATGGTACTTCTTGGCAAGTTTCTTAACAAGCTTCTTATTCTTGTTAAGCTTCTTCAACCCTTCCACATCCATATAATCCAAACCAATCTTCTCTGCCTGTAAGACAGATCACTCACTAGTTAATAAATTCATTAAACAACAATATCCAAAGGGTTGGACAAATTTGAACTTTAAAGCAGCATAATTACCTCCTCAACGTGTTGAGCATCTCCAAGCATGCATATTTTCATCTTTGGTCGCGGAATGTGAGGCAGCTTGACGGAACCACTGAAACGCTTGTCTTTCTGAGGGTCATAGTTCTTCAGTCCAATTTGAAGTTCAATTGTCTCAGTGAAATTCCGCTTCTTCTCTGAGGACTGGGCCTTAATGGTTGAGATGGCTTCTCTAAGAGCATCACTCTGAAGCTTACTGTAATTTGCAGAAAAACAGACAATGATTCAAAAAGAATATAAAAAGTCATAATTTAGTAATGTCAAACAACCTTCTTTGCACATAAAAGTAAAAATAACAATTGAAATCCCATCACAATCAGAAGAATAAGCCACTCATAATGCGGAGAGCAGACCCACTTTTAACACTGCTTTGTGATAAACTGCTAAGAAGTCATAACCATGAATTTCAGTCTAAATTCACACTGAGAAGTGAGAACAATAATTATCATGATATTTAAAAGATCCAGAGTCTTAAAGCAGTCAGGAAGACACAGACTGTGATACCACTACGAAGAATTCAAATTAATAAGATAAGCACAACCATTTTGAACAAACATTAAACGAAAAGCAGCCTCGCCATCAAAAATCAAGTCTAAAATTACAAGCTAACATACACATATTGAAATTGAAATCTCAGTTCCAATCAAGACCACAATCATCAGCACAAGTGAAAAAAAGAAACTATTTCGATCATCATAATCAAGCATTCATTACATGACCAAAAAAAAAAAAAAAAAACAGAGATGTGACATACCTCATCTCTGAAACTCTTCTCTTCCTTCAAACACGCCACAGACTTTCCCCTGCAAAAAATAGATTGAGATAGATCAGAGGCAAAGAACAACACCAGAGGAAACAGAAATGACACAAGAAATCTATGAAAAGTAAATCACTCTTCTCGTGATTTAAGGGCTTCCACAGGAAACACACAGGGATTCTCAGATCTGATAATCAATATGATGTAGATGTTGCAGAGGAAGGAATAGACAGCATACCGGCCAAGTGAAGAAGAAGAAGAAGATGAGAACCCTAACCAGACAATCTCGCGGTTGAGATTTATAAAAGAGGAAGAGATTAAGAGTGATAAACCCTAGACAGAATATTGGACAGAGCAGGAATAGCCCAACCCAAATTTGAGATGGGTCTAGCCCATCTCTGGCTTCATTGGTTTGGACTTTGGAATTGGGTTGGACTTCTGAGACAAGGCCTAGAAGAAGGATTTGGACAATAAAAGGACCGTTTGGCTTAGCTTATTTTTAATAATAGAATAAAAAATCTATATATCTCAATTTATTTTTTTGATTTTAATATATATATCTCAATTTAATTTATGCATAATGTCCAAAAAAAACCATGTTTATTATTCTTAATGACCAAAAACTCCTTTTAGTTGTAGGTAAATATGATCTCTTTTAAATAGGTTTCAAATTTAAATCTTAAAATGGATATTAAGGAAATTTTGAAATAGAAAATTACTAACGACTTAAATAATTCAGTGGTAATTTCTTTTTCTTAAAAATAAGAGATCATGAGTTCGAGTCACATGGCATGCGGGTGAGATGGGATAAGGAATGGGTGAGGTGGGATAAGGAATGGGAGAGGTTACCTTCCGTTGTACAACCAATCATTAAAAAAAAAAAAATAGAAAGAGAGAATTATTATTGTTCAAAAATGGTTAGCAAAAAAAATTTTCTTATAACGAAATTTTACAATCCTAGGTTACAATAATTATTATTTAATTATTTTCACATTGTATACATCTATTTGTATAATCTCATGTGTCTACTATAAATTTCATTAGAAGAAATTTATATGTGAGTCAACTCTTTTTTGGTTGAATTATATTAAGATGGAAAATATGAGTTCTAAAAGCATTGCTCAAGGATACAATTTTAATATGGTAACTTGAAAAGAAAAGGTTTTGAATTTTTTTTTGCCCATAATGCATATACCTTTAGGCAGCCTCATCATTGGTGCTGTGAAAAGTTACAAAAGAGTCTTAGTGCGCCTAAGTAAAGCATGCAACTGATCTAGAGGCTGTACTCTATTCTTCTTCCCAGAGAAAAAGATGTCTGGTGTTTGTGTCTTTTACGTCCTCTCATCAGCTCTTTTTTTTTTTTCCCTTCCACTACATGAACATGTATATCCTATTTTGCAGATATATATATTAGTCACGGATTGAATGTTGTTAATCATTTAAGTATAATAATTAGTATACCCTTTAATTTAATATATTTTATAATATATTCATTCAAAATTTATTATTTTAGTTAAATTTTATTTTAAAACAAAAAAAAATCTTATTTATAAAATTTAATAACTAAATTAATTAGTGTTGGTACCGGAAGATGTACTACTCCTTACCTTTATTCAAATTTCAAAACGTAAATTACTTTTAAGTGTGGTAAAACTGTTTGATCTTTAATTTCCATGATTGACAGAATATGTTAAGATTATTTTCCTACAGTATATATATATATATTATACATTTCGCTTACCATTTTTTGTTTTCATATGAAGCAGATGAAAATGGATGATGATGATGACTCAGTGGATTTGATGAGCGTACTGACTGCAGTAGCAAACAATGAGTACGCATGCAAAAACATACTATTGGGCGACATGAATGTCGAAAACCCTCAACAAATGCAACAACACATTAGCCTAATTAACAGCCTTAGCTGCAGCAAATTAACCCTCAATAAATGGCACACAACTTCATACAGCCAATCTAACCCTAGCTGCACCGGCACTACAATACAATAAAGTTCGAGTCCCAGAATCTGGACCTTCTTTTTCTTCAAAGTCCTAAGAATCCACCACTAATGTTGGAAACAAGATTATCAATGGAGAGGGTGCCTCTTAAATCCACTGGGATTCCCTTAATTATCTATTGGCAGCACAGCCTCCATGCATCTTCAGCCGCCGTGGAATCGGAAAATGGTGACAGAACTCATCAGTACCCTAAGGGCGCCTCATATATAGTACTGATAATAAATTGATAGTTTATAAGAAAGTGGAAGGAAAAAGAAAACGCAAGAAGCCGGAGCTGCTGATGAGACTGAACAGATGAAGGAGTTAACTAAGATTAAGAACAGAATCAGCCGCAAGATCACGAGCCAAGAGACAGGTTCAAAATCAACATTCATGATTTAATCAAATTAATTAAATATTAACAACACTAATTAGTAATTAAAATTTTTTTTCCTTGCACGGGAGCACAGAAAATTTCTTGAATAAAAAGTGGAGAAATTACTGACCTTGGTATGCCAATTAAAGCCACAAAAAATCAAAATAATTATTATATTCAATATAATTTATTATTGTGAATTAATTTTGTGATTTACAAGTGGAAGAATTGATGGAAACAAAGAAGCAGCACATGGTGGAAAGAGCTGCATTGAAGAGGACTGCAAATTCAGAAATTTGACATCAATATATTAATCAGAAAGGACTTCTCTTAATTAATAAGTAAATTATTAAGGTGCTATAATCTCTTCAATCTCAAGATCTTCATAGATTTTCCTTTTTTATCAACAAAAAAAGTTAGTACTTAGATATAACATATATTTGAATATTCTCTGAAACATCAATTTCAAGATAAAGGTTGTAATACCATTCATAGCTTTCTTCCTAACTTTTTCATATGTTCATCACTTTTTAAAGTCATCATGAATTATTACTAATAAGATAGTTTACAAAGCAACACAAGTAATAGGGAATAAAAAAGAAGAAAGAGCCAAGGCTCTTTGGAGATATATTCAGCACATACTTTCTATCCTAAGTCGTTGATGATGATAGGGATCCATTCTCCTTCCTTCAGCCATTAACGCTTGCCGAGCCAACTCAAGTCCCTTGGGGGCCAACAATGCATCAAAAGAAGAATGATCCATCCAATCCTTAAGCAACTCCTCATTCCCCCATTTATCCGGTACCGGAACCCGACCTGCCACCTCTTCTCTATGCCTCTTTAGCCTTTCCCGTGCAGAATCCTTTAGCTGCAATGCTTCTCCAGCCTCCCTAGCCTCAAGGGAATGACAATTTTCAGGCCCAACCCCGTCAATATTGTTGGCCTTGTTTGTGTTGGGGGAAACAGAGGGACTCCGGTGAACCGCCCTCGGAGAACTCCGGGTGATGGTGGTGGTTTCTTCCTCCTGCATTGAAGAGATATGTGGTAGCTTCATTCTTGGTTATACAACAATGGGAGCATGCAAAGAGAATTAGGGTTGCTGAGATTTATATAAGGCCGCTGTGTGGGAAAGTGGAGCACACGTCAGAGGAATTTGTTTCGTATGGTTTGGGGGATACCTACGTGGAACGTGAGAAATTTGTGTGGTCAAATTTGTGGTTGTTCAAAAAAGAGATTTTGGGCAAATTGGGGATTTTGAAAAAAATGTGTGATTTTTGGGGGGCTTGGGTCCTTCTCCGAACTGGTAGGTGGGTTTGATGATGTAGGTTACTTGAAGTGGACAGAGCGTGCTCACGAGAATTGATTCCATTGGAGGATTTAAAGATGTGGACATTAATGAAAGAAATTCAGATATTTCTCAGTGACAAGCAGTTAGTTCTGAATAGGTGAAATACTATTAATGTGCCCAAAAGAGGTGCTAGCGCATTCGGTGCTCAGCGAGTAGCATTAAATTAGAGTTTTGAGATCAAAATAGAACAGATTTCAAAAAGTAATGATGGAGGGGACGATTTTGGGCGACGATTATGGGGGACGACAAGTGATGGGAGGATTCATGCATGTTGTGCAATTACTAATTTGATCCTTGAATATAACTTGTCGTCCCCCAAAATCATCCCCCGATTTCAAAACCATGAAAAAGGAGGTTATGTTGGCAAGGGCCTTAGAGAGATGGATTCAAGTCGGATCCCTCCCAATGTGCTTTTCACCTTTAAAATATTATATTTAAAATATTATGTAAAATTGTAAATTTGTAATCATAACGTGATATTAATTAAATGAATTAAATATAAAGGTGACAACAAGCCCCACGAGTTGAAAAGTGCCTCTCCAACTCAATTCTTGTGAATGGTGGGAATATGAATCCCTATGGAGATTTTTAACATGAGCAAATTTTGCCCTCTGTTTCTATTCCCTACCAATTAATTTATAGCAAAATGTAAATTTCATTCTTTAAGTATAGTCAACTAATATTCAAACATAATTAACAAAATTTTAAAAGTTCAAACATAATTAACTAAAGTTTTCTAGACATAAAATCAAACATAAATTCTCTAAATATAAACAAAGATCAATCTTTTTTTTTAATAACAAAAATTAATATTTATTAATAACCAGAGTATAAGGAGTATCCAAACCCATACATGACAGGTATCAAATTAAATGTTGTGGATGCCTGCCATATAGTGTCGACACCCAAAATATGTGTCAACACCACATCCATGTCGGAGTTTTGGATGCTGATCATATGGTGTCGACACCAAAAGAATGTGTCGACACTATACTTGTGTCGAGCTTCTGTCCACTTTTGCAGTTTCTTCAAAAATCACTATTCAGATCCACAAAACCTTCCCATTTGTCAAACCCGCTGGCACACAAAGTCATTGAGCATGCATTGATTACAACTTAAATAACCCCATAGATCAAGAACAATACTACAGTCAGTTAAATTTTCAATGAAGTCTTCCTGCACCATTTGTGACTTTCAAACAAACAATAGGATTAATTAGCCAATCAGTTAAACTGAAGGCATACCTGTCATTTGTTGCTTTAATCCATAGGAAGGATCTTAGTTGGATGAGTTCAAATAGTTTCCTCAGGTTTATCTCTTTATCCTGAAATATTTTTTGGTTTCGAGACAACCATATGGACCAAATAACAGTATTCCATATACAGTCCCATCCTTCTATAGTGTGTTTATTCTTGGTCCATGCTCCAAAATTTTGAAAAGTGTTCCAGCAATCTGTTCCGAATGATATCTTAGCTCCCCACCATTTAGCACAAGCTTTCCATATCCAACGAGCACACTTGCAATTTAAAAATAGATGCCCAGCATTCTCATCAGCTTCTCCGCATATAGCGCACCTTCCTTCCTCCATGTCCTTAGTAATCCCTCTTCTTAACAAATTCATCCTTGTTGGAATTCTGTCTAGCACCAGTTGCCAATTGAATGCTGAAACTTTGCTTGGAAATAGAGGGTTCCATATTCTTCTGAAGATTTCAGTTCCCCTTGATCCTCTTTGCTCTTGTGTCAACAATGAGTAAGCCGTCTTTGTTGAATAATGCCCATCCTTGTCGTGAACCCACTCCCACGCATCAGGCTTTCCTTGTGAAATCTTCACGTCCGCTATCATCCTTTGGAGTTGTTTGGCCTCTTCAGCTTCCCAATCGAACAATTTTCTCCTCCATACTAGATTCCACTCCCATGATCCATTTATGTTTTTGCCCATTTGATTGCACGTACTCTCCTTTCCTATTGATAAAGTATACAATCTAGGGAATTTGTTAGCAAGACACCCCTCTCCCCTCCCAATCATCCCACTAGAAGCTTACCCTATTACCCTCCCCTTTGCTAATCCTAAAACCTTCGGTCAACCATCCCACCTTTTCCTTATCCACTGCATTAAGGCTACACACATCCCTCCACCATATTGAGCTTGCTACCCTGTGTTCTTTAACCCAATCCTGCTAGTGACTACCTCATTTACCATACTTCTCAGTAATTATGCTCTTCCACAAACCCTAATATAAATAACTAAATCAATATGGGACTTACTCCTTATACAACATCCGTCATGCAAGATAGGGTAGCTCAAAACTCAAAAGCTTTCAAAATCCACATTTGCTCATAAAAAAGTCCTACAATACAATCAATAAATATTTTATGTTAACATATTCATGGAAAAACTATTTATATTATTAGTATAAAAAAAAAGACAATGATACAAACACCCTGCGTAGTTACATACTATATTATATATTGATGGAAACCATCAATTTTAATGGCATAAATAACAGAAACTGTTAATTTTAACAGCACAAGTAATGAAAACTATCAGTTTTAACGACATAAATAACGGAAACCGTCAGTGTGTAACGGAGTGTGTAACTTTATAAGGTGTACAGATCTTTTTTTTTAAAAAATACTTTATTTTACCTTTGAATTATCTTCTTCATCACAATCCACACCCTCATTAAGGGTAAAGAAACTTATATCATCCAAAGATTCAATTTCAAACATAAAAATTTAGATTAAAAATTAACTACTTAATTAAAGAATAAAAGAAATATAAATTTAATACCTTTGAGATTTGTTCTTAACCAATCTTAAAGACACATTAATGCTTATATTGTATTTGGTTTAAGCTTGCTATGATTTGGGCTAATAACTCTTCCACTAGTAGTAAAAATTGATTCTAAAGTAACAGCGGATATATGAATGACAAATACATCTTTAGTAAGCATTTGTAATGTAGGAAACCGAATCCCAATAACCTTCCACTAATCCAAAGTATCAAAATTGTTTTCTATCTCATTTAGAACCACCAATTCTTCCAACTATGTATCCAACTCAAATTTCACAACTAGAGAATTGCCTTTAGAAGAAAGGAATGTCTTGAATTTGTGAAGAAAGTTAGGGTTGTTAACACTTGCAAAGGAGCCCACCATTGGAAAATAGCTAGATGTTAGCCTATTTTTCTCATTTTGGCTAGATTTAAATTGATACTTATCCACTAAGTCATAACAAAGCTTTCTAACTTTTTGCATTTCCACTTGACTTTTATTTTTATAAATTTCTAGAAATAGAACTTCACCAATTGCATTTTGTATTTAGGATCCAAAATAGTTGCTATAGCCATAATTCCATGAATCTCACCCCAATACTTGTCAAATTTTCCCAACATTGATGTTGCCGTTGCTTTTATTACAATATTCCCACAAGTTAACCAACTCCTCAATGCAATCTTAATTTCACTAATCTTAGGGAATAAAATAATCTTAGGGAATAAAATATTAGTTGTTGGATATTTATTCCATAAAATCAATTTAGTGATTTAATAAAAAATAACCAACTTTTCATAATCAATTGCCTAATCCCCCTCAAATGGTAAAAATCTATATTTTGACTCTCTTTGTTTCAAACGAAAGAAGACATCTTTATAATGCAAACCCACATCAAGCATTAAGTAAGTTGAATTCCATCTAGTTTTGCAATCAAAAATCAACTTTTTGGAAACTGCAATTTTTAATTAATTAGTAGTTTCTTCAAATTTTTCCTCTTTTTTTGCTACTGCTACCTAATAAGCAACACTATCTCAAACCCTCTCAATGCCATCACCCATTACCTCCAACCCATCCTTAACAATCAAGTTTAAAATGAGTGGAACAACGCATGTGTATCAAGCTTTTTTCTAGCCACAATGAATCACTAGAAAGGTTTCTTAACAATATGTTAATCATGAAATCATTCATAAAACAATTATGTATTATGATAGTAGATAACTTTCTATCAATATTCCAATCCATCAAACAATCAAGTAAAGTATGTGATAGTATCTCAACATTATGAGGATAAGAGACATACAAAAAACTATGAAAATTATTAAAATTAATTAGAACAATAATTCAAATAATAATTCTAAAAAATAATAATTAAAATATTACATTATAATTCGGCTTTGCAAAATCCACGAACTATCAAGGTAATGTATTGTGATGACCATATAACCTTTCTTTTGATTAGAAGTCCATATGTCAGTTGTGATGGTAATTCTATTTTGATTTTCCTCCAAAAACTTAATTTTTTTTAGATTTTTCTTATTGATAGATGTTGATAATATCATTCTTGATTATATTTCTTGAAACCATCTTGAACCTTGATTGAAAAGCAACAATGAACCTTTTAAATCCAACATGGTCGACAATCGATAAAGGATACTGATGTAAAGCAATCATGCATGCAAGTTCCTTTCTTGCATTCTCTTTACTAAAAAGCAACATTAGTGAATTCTATTTTTCCATCACTATTCCTTGAAGCCTTCAAAAAAGTTTGCCTTATGTCAATAGCACATTTCAGTGGATAAGACTTTAAGTGATGATGCAAGTGTTTGTCCCAGTCTTAGTTTCGCCACCAAGTGTTTTGCTCCAATAGATGCATATTGCTTTCCATGTGCCATTAATTTTATCTCTTAAAAAACTTTGATGCCTTAGAAGCCAATGATTGTTTATGGCCATGATTTTCCTTTTCATTAACACCTTATTTCTTCTAGTATAATAGGAGGCACGACAAAAGTGGTGTTGGTGTTGTTAGAGGGCTTGGCATATAACTATCACTTGATTCATTAGAAATTTGAATTGGTGGTGGAGCTTGAAATGATCCATCAACACTCTACTTTTGTGTATTAAACATTTATCACCTAAAAATAAATTAAAAAAAAAAAACAATTAAGCAATCATGTTTTAAACTTCTAACAGCTAGAATGGAAGAAACTAAATGGGATTCACTTCATGGATTAACTTAATGCTTCATGTTTCTAATTTTTCTACTTTAGTTGTATTAATTAATTCTTTTTTTTTTTTTGTTATTTTCCTTGCAAGATACTCTCCTTAAGTATATTCATATGACATTGCATAATCATGCTTTTGTTATGTGTAAGATATTTTGTTTTTGCAAAGCAACATGGAGCATAGCCAATGATGAACCAAATACTTATTTTTTTATTAATCTACATTAATTCATTTCACTTTTCAGCTGGACCTGGACTCTTTACTACGTAATTTCTAGTGATTATTTTGATGTAATGACCAACAATATTGTAGAATTAAAAACTATGATCAAAATGTGGCATTTGAAATTATGATACAGAAATGAGGTGTAGATATGAACAAGTATCAAACTAGATAGAGAACATAATTAGAAAAAAAAAATTTAAATCTCACCTTAGTTTGTCAAACAACATCAATTTTTAAAGACAAAACCTGATTTAATTTTCAGCAACAAGTCTTGCCTAAGATGTATATAACCCAACAAATTATCCACGTCCTATAAAACATCATTATTTTTCTATTTACTTTAAATACTGCTATTTATATTTTTTTTGTTTGCTAATGCTTAATTGACTACTCTGAGTGAAGATTATGCACGTCCATAATTAAAGCAACCTTAAGAGCAAACTGCTTCGCATTTGGGGAAGAGAGAGAGAGAGAGAGAGAGAGAGAGAGAGATTACTTCAAAACTTGAATACCTAGTTTTGGATATGTAAGTGAAGTAGTCTAGCAACACAAAGTCTAGTAGTCCAATGGCTTCAATGGCTTCAACATAGTGGGTGGCAACACAGAGATAAAGTCCAGTTATCTAGTAGAAGTCCAAAAGAAATGTAGATTCAACAACATTTTAAAACTAGGCTAGATTTGACAACAGTTCAAAAGTAATCCAAACTATGTAGTTCAGCAATAACCCTAGCAAATAAGCAGATGACTTCGATGGCAACAATCCAAAAGTAGTCCAAAAGCAAGGTAGATTCGACAGCAACAATGTAGCTTGGTAG